ACCACTTATCCTTAATTTAATAGGTTTTTTTAATTGTTATTTCAACAATTCACTTAATTAACTCCTTTTCCTGTACTTTAGTGGGATAATCACTATTGCTGTCCATTAGAGTCTTTATATTTGGTGCTATTTAGGATGGACCTCAATAAGAACTCAAGAATATCGAGTATTGTATAATCCGTTACAGTAAACCTATGACACATGTATCAAAGGTGACACACCATGGCATTTTGAATGTTACACCAGTATTCACCAACATCTGACAATAATTCTCAAAAGCATACTTCTTGTGTGATTTTTGGAGGCAGTAAAAGCTGCTTCAGGTTGCATATGGCCTTCTTTTTTGAAGCAACTGGAGAATGCTCTTGCATGGCCTCTGAAGCCTCTGAAATTTACACAAGAACTTGACATGTTTTCACAGTTTTTGGAGGCTGTAGAGACAATGGAATAGCATTCTCCAAAGTTACTTCAAGAAAGAAGGCCTTGTGTGACCAGGAGCAGCTTCAGGTAGGCCATAAGGACATGTTAACAGAAAGAGCATTCCCCTGGGGCTAAGTGGCATGCAAAAAAAGTCCTGGGGAGTGCTCTGCTATGGGGAACAATTGTGTCATTCCCCAAAGCTTGGGGTGAGAGGAGGGCTTTTTAAGTGACAGCAGTGATGCTAAAGCTGAAGTCAAGATCTAAGCCCCCATTTCAGGCCCAGCCTTGGCACTGCTGAGTGGTATTGTTCAGGATGGCCTGAATGGAGGAGATAGAGAATTGTTTCTCTTTTGTTTTTTGTTTTTGTTTTTTTGGGCAGGGGGGGCATACCAGCAAAATCAAATTAGGCATTTTCCAAATGTTTGACATGACAAGCCCAAAAGGTTTGCCATTACTGATATGTACTATATGCAAAACCACGAAAAATAATAATAATTCAAAATGGGGAATGTCCTTTCATTTGCACAATCCCTTATGCTCCACTGCTTTCATCAATTTTATTTTCCATATTAGGTATTATTGGGAAAATATTTTTCCTGGAGTTAAGTAAAGCCTGTCCACTTTTTAAACTTAATTTTGAAAGTATACTATAAATTCAATTATTTTTTAAATAATAATTAAATGATTTATATTTAAACATTTTTAAATATAATTGTTTATGTTAAGCAGCTTGTGAAAGCCTTTTGTGTGGATCCCCGAATCCCTTCAACTAAATAAAAAATAAACTTAAAACAGACAACAATAACTTAATATAAACAACAATATATTAAATCATACCTGAAGGCATCCAAGAATTATTTAGTGAAGAACCTGAAATTATCATTTTATAATAAAGGCAGTGATGGATACAATTATTTTCGAATGAATTTGAGTCGAAGATTGCTGAGGAAGTAGACAGTGTTCTCCATGCTGACAGCTCATTCACCTATTTACTTAATCTGGATCCTTTTAGATTGTGAAAGGACCAGGGGAGTGGCCTACAGTTAAGTCCAGACCATGCTGTTAAAGGTAAAGGTTCCTCTCGCCCATATGTGCTAGTTGTTCCAGATTTTAGGGGGTGTGATCATCTCTGTTTCAAAGCCGAAGAGCTAGCATTGTACGAAGACATCTCCATTATCATGTGGCCAGCGTGACTAAATGCCAAAGGTGCACGGAACACTGTTGCCTTCCTACCAAAGATTGCTCCTATTTTTCTAGTTGCATTTTTTCATGCTTTTGAACTGTTAGACTGGCAGAAGCTGGGACAAGTAACAGGAGCTCACTCCAGTTACATGGCACTAGGGATTTGAACCACCGAACTGCCGACCTTTCTGATCGACAAGCACAGCGTCTTAGCCACTGAACCACCATGTTCCTAACTGTTATGTCCCTAACCCTAGCCTCTCTAAAAGTGGTGGTGCACACACACCCCTTAACAGTCCATTCATGGGCCAAATAATCTTTGACAGGTACTAACCAATCTCCAATCTTCCCTTTTCAGAGACAGTTGCTGAGAAAGGGAAGATTGGTCTGCAACTGACAATGCTGGAGGAAACAGATTATCTACACCAGCGGTGTCAAACTCAAGGCCTACGGGCCAGATCCAGTCCGCAATGTGATTAGACCTGGACCACAGAGCTGTCCTGGAAACAGCAAATGACTGACCTGCAGTGCCTCAGCCTAGGACAATTGGGCACTGATCTACAAGCTGTTGGCAGCCATCTGGGCCAGAATGTGGTCAGCCTTAGATCCATGAAGCTGGCCTGGAGTCAGTGAGGGTCCACCCCCATTCGCCCCCCTAGGCACATGCACAGGAGGTGGTGAGCACACCTGGGGCCTGGCGTTCCTGGGGACATCTTGCCACACAGGCTGACTGAGTTTTGAGCTCTTCCCTTTCATCCAAGATGTCAGCGCTCACTGCTTCCTGTGCATATGCCCAGGGGGTGGGGCGAAAGAAGTGGGGTGTTATCTCGCTGGTTCCAGGACAGCTACGCACATCAGATATAAAGCAGATAGGTATCTACAACTTGGGGACATTCAGTCCCCAAGTTGTAGATCAGTGCCAGGTTGGCCTGTATCAGGCCAAGGTGATACAGGTTGGCCCTTTGCTTTTTCCAGGGCAAATCACATGGACGATGTGGAGAGTTTGGTAACGCTGCTGGTAGCCATGCTGCCGGTGGCAGTGGCTTTTCCATGCTGGGGCTGGGGCCATCCCAATGAAAGAAAAGCCTCACGGGTTGAGAGGCCAGGCTCAGAAAGAGATGAGAGGAAGGGGAAGAGACTGGCAGTGCTTTCTTTTATACTGGGACAGCCTCCTCCTCCATTGGAAAGCACATGCTTGGCGCCTGTAGATTCCCACATCTTTTGAACCATCAGGCAGGAGTTCCACCAAACCTGGTCTGGGTTTCCTGATCTGCGGGTGGAGAAAAGGCTGCCGGAGCCTTGTCCTAGGCCCTGCACTCCAAGGCAGCACCTGTAGATGGGGCTTGGCCAGGGGCATCCCTGGGCAAGGCTGCGAGCCATCGCATCTAGATGGTGCAGCAGGTTAGAGGTGAATTTGGGGTGAGCTGCAGGGGCTATACCCTGGTCCAGTGCTTAGGTGAGTGGATCAGACACTTCAGCTTGGGCGTCTGGCGAGGGTGCCTCTGAGCATGTGCACAGCGCTCTTCACTTGTTTGGTCTGGGTCGGGGTCTGCAGCTGAGAAGCCTGGCCATTGCTTTCCAAAAGGAGGTGGTCCCAGTGAAAGGGAAGCCTCGTGGACTGCAAAGCCAGGCCAATGAGTGGAGCATGGAGGCTCTGGTGTGGATGGGGCGCTGATCTATTCTACAACCTAGTGGAGGCCATCTGAGCCAGAACATGATCAGCTTTATATCTGACTTGAGAGGCTGCCCTGCTGCCCCGCCCTGCCTCTTGGGCATGGGGCATGCACCCACAGGGCCTAGCGTCCATAGGGACTGTCATGCCCCACAGGCTGACTGTTCTCAGCACTTTCCTTTCACACAGAATGCCAGTGCTCACTGCCTGTGTACATGCCCAGTGGCTGGGACCGAGGCAGTGGGATGGTCTTTTGCTGATTCAAGGGCAGCTGCATGGATTGATCCTAATCTGATCATGTTCTGGCCAAGTTGTAGATGCCCAGCTTGCCTGTCTGGCCTCACAGTCCCTTTTCACTGGGACCACCCCTCCCTGGTGTGGAAAAGCCATGGTCAGTGGCTGTGCTGCTAATCTCTCATTCCTTCTGAGCACAGAGGAAGATTGGGACGGCATGAAAAGCGTTTGCAAGGCTTTGGAGCAGCAAAATCCCTTAGTTCAAGCCTTCCATCAGCTTGCAAATGGCTTTTGTACTGTCCTAATCTTGGCATGAAAAGCATTTTCAAGTCAACAAGACTTTGGGGCAGCAAAATCACCTTGCTTGAAGTCTCTCATCAGCCTTTAAATGCTCTTTGTCCTGAGACTGGAATAGTGTAAAAGGTGTTTTCAAGCCAATGGGAGGCATCAAGCAAAGCAAATGCTGCCCCAAAATCTCATCATCTTGCAAATGTTCTTTGGCCAGATTTGGTACAAGCCTCAATTCACAGAGAATAGAGGCCTAAACTACTGTAGTGCAAGATCAGTAGTGCAAAATTTTGTCTGGCCCATCATAGGTGCCCCTCAATGTGAGCGATTTTGAGCAGTTCAGGTTGAGTTGTCCATGCCCATCTAGTCACATGACCACTCAGCCATGCCCACCTGGTCCTTTGTGGGTGACCATAATGCTGATCTGGCCCTCAATGAACTGAGCTTGATACCTCTGATCTAAGACCAGGGGTCACCAACTTTTAGGACCTCAAGGATGACTAAATTCATAATTTTAATCCTGCGGACCACTAATATGATTTTTTAAAAAGGTAAATAGTATTTAGTGCAATATAAAAATTGCAAATAATTTTTCTGTGGACCACCAACATTTTCTCGTGGACCACCAGTGGTTCACAGACCACCAGTTGGTGACCACTGATCTAGACTTATTTGAGTTGGATTTAGTACAGGATTTTGTTGATGATTTTGGGGCAAAGTTAGAATGGTTGTGGGACATCCAATGTGAAGATCTAGAATATTCATGCTGATTGATAATTATGGAAGGTCCAGTTAGATGGTACATTGGTGGTATAAGGTTGTATTAGCCTAATGTGATGAAGGTGGCCTTGAAGAGCAGAGGAAAAATCCGTTAGCAAGACAATGATGAGATAAACAAGATATAAGCCAAGATAGAAAATAATTTATAAAAACACCTTGGACAACCCTAAACCCTTAATTCTCATTGAGATAAAAGAGGAAGGGGGGCACATCGAGACTTACAAGATTGATGTCAACTCAATAAAGCAAACCAGACTAAGAAACAGACACCATGCAGACATAACACGTCATTTAGAACACAGAACATCTACAGTAACAGATTCTTGGTAGCACAAAACCTGGTTTACAAAGCACAAACATGCTAAATTAAAGCTGAACAAGCCACAGAATGAGTTACATTAATATTGTATCTGAGCTTACTCACCTGCGATCCTGAAGTTAGCCTGGACGCCAAACAAAAATTTTCAAATTATCTTATTTCATCCAAGGTTTCTGAAAAATAAAATATCACCATCTGATTATTACGAAGATATCAATCGTTCTCATTTCACCTCATTTTACTGGTATCAATCAGTCTCATTTTACCAGACTATGCCATTCTTTAGAACAACAGGAACCATAGTGTCCCTCAAGATGCAGACCGATATATCTGGTAATTTTGTAAAGGTCAATGATGCAGCTTGTCATTATTTCCCAACTATACACATTAGCACGGTTCACACAATCTGCTTAATCTTAAATTCAACTTGTAAACATAATAATATTCAGGAACTCGGGAAGTAATTGCTGGATTCAATGAACTCATACAATTTTAATCTTTTCCTTTTAGAAGAAGGATATTGAGAGGGTAATAAACTTGCAGTTCCAAAGATCCTTGAAGAAAGTGAATTGTCAGGTTTCAGACTAGCTTACAGTAGGCAGGATACAACTTATCATTGATTATTATAATGGACATAGAATGGGAATTCGTCTATTCTAACAGATCTCACAGGGTGGGCATGCTCCATATTCCTTCTGTGAAACAATGCCAACTAAAAGATGCAGGAAATGAGACTTCTCTATTGTGGTGCTTGTTCTTTGGAACAGCATCCCCCTTCAAATCTAGATGGCCCTGACCCTGTTAGCTTTCTGTAAAGATTTGGTTTAAGCTTAGGCATCAGGGTTAGAATGTTAATGGAATCAGACATGTATGAGATTTTGATTGAGAGCTAGTTTTTTAGAGGTCACAAGGCTGAGATGAGCGGATACATAAATTCAAGAAAGAAATTAACGTATTTATATAACATGCTATACTCACATAAAAATAAATTAGGGCTTGCTCTGATTTATTCAACTTCGTAAGACAATGGCTGACTTAACACTATATTCTGAACTGCAAACTACGGGTAGCCAATGCCCATTTATATTAGTTGGAAGTGTTTTGCAAACCAGCCAAAAAAGCAATTCAACGCATACAACAGTCTCCAAGAAATAAGTTTACTTTTCCACTATGTCCACAACATAGCTTGAATTTGATTGTAATTGAGTCTTGCAATCATCAAGCCAGCCTATTCCTCAAATTCTCAAAAGGAACTGAGAATGACTATAGGAATGGCCCACTGTCCCTGTAGCATAGACAAGACAATGGTATGAAAATAACTGCAATTGACTTAGCCTGCTATTAGTATCTTAAAACACTAGACTGATATAGTTTACACATTATGCTACATAGTTTTATTTTATTTGAAGTTTTATTTCATAATGGCTTCTTTAATCATAATGGAATAGGTTGATTTACAAAAAGTTGTTGTTAGTTGCGAAGTTGTGTCCGACACATCACGACCCCATGGACAACGTTCCTCCAGGCCATCCTGTCCTCTAGAGTCAATTTAAGCTTACAAAACATACCAAGCCATTAATCAGAGTTTGAAATCACAATGATTTCATCCAGGATGCAACCAACTTTGTGATTTAGTGCAATGTATGAATCAAACCTTCATGTCAGGATTATCAACTCGTGGCTGATGGCAACTTGTAATCTTGCTACACATCCTGGTCATCACCCAAAGTGCTCCCAGCTCCCTTTATTTTTAATTCCATTTTTATGAAAGCTGTGCTTTTGTGTGAGGTGGGGTGGTGGCATGTTAAAGGTAAAATAAATGCCATATGGGCTTCAATTTATCCTAAAAGGAATACTCTTTGTGGCATCATGATCTCATCTCCTCAGCACTTTGTGTAAGCTAAGTGCAAGTCGTGGCTGAAAAAATGTTTCCAATCTTCAATTTGCCTAAATAACCTTTTATGTTGTGTCCAGGATGCATATGTTCATCCAGCTGTGTGCAGTTTGTTCTGCTTCTTTGTTTTTTGAAGGAAAAGTGCTCTGTACATGTTCAGAGCCTGTCTTCTTTACAGAAAACAAAACTACATCCCTATCACTTCTCTGTACATTCCAGGATGAAGTTAGGTTCAAAAGCTTAGTCTTGGTGAGCATCCAAATTCAAATTAAGGCCCCAAAGAAACAAAAAAATTACTCTCTGCAGGAGATAAACTAGTTCCTTTTCCAGTCATTTAAATAACCCTCTTAACATGCAACTGCCTGGCTGGCTCCCAATTCCCACTATCCCTGCACCCAACATGGATTTTTCCTGCTGACTCAGGATATTTGCAGCTGCAAAACAAACCATGGCCGAAGTCCATAGCAGAAAGGGAGTCAAGATGCACCTGGAGGCAAAGGGGTGGCTGAAGGGGTGCAGCAGGGAAGTCCCTGTTTGATACGGTAGTGTGGCATAAAAACCAGATTCAGGCATAAAGGCAGAAATTTGGATGCGTGGGTATGAGTGTATGCTGCAAAAGAGACTTGGAGCCAACAACTGAAAGAATCCATGTGGCTATAATAAATCTTAAGAGATTTTTAAAAACTATACAAGGGAAGGGCTTGGAGTTGCAACTGCGATTTATTGGCAGGGATAAGATAAATGTGGAGGGATAAAACAAACGGGATCATAAGCAAACTTTTAAAATCCAACCTTCACAACTTCAATTTAGCTTTCTTTGGGTTGCAAAAAAACACTGTTTAATTTTTAAAAAACATAGGAAGCTCTTAAGATGATAGATTCTGAAGAGTGTTGCTAAATGCTTGGTAATATTGCTAAACCCAAAGTAAGTGCTTATTGGGACATTCAGAGTTCAGAGGATAAATCTTCCCACAACTAACCATTTTGGAATTTATCATGGTACAAACCTAATCACACCTTTGGCCCTATACCAGTGATGGCGAACCTTGGTTCCCTCAAGTGCCAAAAGTGTGCATGCGCGTGCATTAGCATGTGTTCATGTGTTGACAGCCATAATCCAAGGCCCCACCCCTTCACATGCAACACCCCCCCCAATACTCTCCTGTCCCCATGCATGACCATTTTGGTGCTAGCAGGCCTCCCTGAAGCCTCCTGGGACCAAAAACGGGATGAGGGAGGTCACATTCGCCACCCCCCGTTTTTGGTAGCAGGAGGCTGTTAGTAGCAAAATGGGGATGGGGGCGCTGCACCCTCCCCACCCCCGATTTTGGTGCTAGCAGGCTTCCTGAAACCTCCTGGAACCAAAAACGGGAGTGGGGGGCACCGCATCCCCCATGCATGTGCATGCTTCTCCCAGTAGACCCAAAAATCAGCTGGCCGACGGGAAGCATGCATGCATGCGCAGTGGAACTGATCTGGGTAATGGCTCATGTGCCCGCAGAGATGGCTGCACATGCCACCAGTGGCACGTGTGCCATAGGTTTGCCATCATGGCCCTATACTGATGTGCCCTCAAAATATTTTTAATAACCTAAGTTATTACTAAGGTCTAACCGTTTTAAAAGTCATTCTTTCCCCCCTATCATTCTTGTGGAAATTCTCGAGAGTATTTTTTTTATCAAGCCTTTGAAGTTGACGTTATGTTGGCACCATCTTTTTGGTACAGTATTTATTACTGTTGATGAGATGTTTATTGATGGGATAAAAGATATGTTGTAAGATTTTGTTTTTATGATTACTGATGTCTTAAAATTACAATAATATAGAAATTTTGTTAAACAAACACATTTAAGTAGTATCAAAAATATTTTGTATAATATAATTCTTAAAAATTCATAGATAGTCCTTGACGTATGACCAAATTTGCACCCAAAATTTCTGTTGCTAAGTGAAAAATTAGTAAAGTATATGTTTTGCCCTATTTTTGTGACCTTTCTGGGCCACAATTGTTAAGTGAACCACTGGGTTTGTTAAGTTTAGTAACACAGTTGTTAAGCAATTCTGGCTTCCCCATTCACTAGTAGGTTATAAAATGTGATTACATGATCTTGGAACACTGCAACCATCAAAAATATGAGTCAGTTGCCAAGCATCTGAAATTTGATCACATGATCATGGCGATGGTGCAATGGTCAGTGCCATTGTAACTTCAAACAGTCATTAAATTAACTCTTCTAAGTCAAGGACTAACTATTAGCATTTTCTAAGCAACACTGCCACAATAAGGAGGATATGTTGGAAAGAGCGTTGACATGTTTTTTTGATCTTACATAGAAATTAACTACAATATATGTTTATAATTAAAGTTTCTTTTAAAAAAAAGAAAGATAAAAATCAATACAAACTAACATGAAGTAAGAAAAAGAAAGAAATCAAAGAGAAAGTGCAAGAAGAAAAAAAGGAAATGGAAAATGGAAAAAAGATACAAAGAAGTGACTGAAGAAGCTTATTGAATGAGAAGTGATACAAAGAAATAGCTTCCTTCTTTATAAGACCTTTGCAGTAATTAGAAATACAATTAGAAATTTACTCTATGAAAATAACTTTATTTATTCTATAGCCCATCCTGTCCAATTTTGGATTTTTAAATCTGAACTTCACGTTTTTCTGCTTCAAAACATCTATAAGAGGTTTCCAGGCAGTAATAAATGTAGAAATTGTCTTTTCTCTCCTCAAAGGAGCCAATTTAGCCATCTCAATAAGCACCATCATCTTTAGTAACCATTCTTCCATTATTGATAAAGCTGAATATTTCCATCTTTATTCTTACAATAATCTCATTTCAGTTATCATATACAAAAGCAAAATTTCACTATTTTTCCCAATTACTTGTCCAATCCCAAAAGAAAATCTTTCTTTATTAATTGTGAATTAGTCTTTTAAAATCTTCTGAAACAATGTAAGTATTTGAATTCAGAGTTTTCTCATTTTTTACATTTCCACCAAATGTGATAAAATGTCCTTGTTATTCACATTTCCAGCATAACTGTTATGCCTTTATGCATTTTCCCTGTGAAATATACAAATGGAACATCATTTTATAAAAACTCTCTTTAGGATAATTACATAATATAAATAATATAAATTTCAATTACTTCAAAATTTTACCATACGTTCTTTATTGTACATTCTATGAGTAGTTCTTCTGTTTCAAATTTCAATAAAAATACTTTTATTTTAGAAATTATCAGTTCATTAGTTTTACACAATTCTATTTCA